ACAATAATCTGTAAATAGCAAAAGGCACCACCTTAGGTTATGTTTGACATATCTACCAATTATTGTTGAAAAATATTGAACAGTTCTTGAGTTATGCTCTGGAAATGAAGCCCACTGCTCACTTTTGGGACTAAGTCCGAATTGTTTCCATGGAAACCAGGAAAAATAAAAATGCCAAATATCTGCAAATAGCAAAAGGCACCACTTAAGGTTCTGTTTGACATATCTACCAAGTCTTGTTGAAAAATACTGAACGGTTTTTGAGTTACGCTCCGGAAACGAAGCCCACCCCTCTTTAAGACTAAGTCCAAAACGTTTCCCATGGAAACCGAGAAAAATAAAAATGACAATAATCTGTAAATAGCAAAAGGCACCACCTTAGGTTATGTTTGACATATCTACCAATTTTTGTTGAAAAATATCGAACGGTCTTTGAGTTATGCTCCGGAAACAAAATGATTACGGATGGACAGACAGACGGACGAGGCGACGACTATATCCCCCGCATTACATGCCGGGGGGATAAAAAGGAGTTCATGTAATTACAAATCCAAGATGGAAGCAAGCTGTCTGAAACAAATATCAGGAAACGCTTACATTTCAGCGAAGAGGAATGAATACTCTTGGTGGCAATTTTTCTTGCTGGTCATTTGTTAGACTTTTTACTTATTTCCACCCTTAAAATTATAGTTTCAATTAAGTATACCCTAGTGTATTGCAAAATTGAGTTTTCTTGCTCTTTACAAATTGAATCTGTAACAAGCACAAGGTACAAGTGGCCCATGTGTTGGGATTTTCAAAAACGGGTTTACTCAGGATGTTAAATATCCTTAGTCAATATTCCAGCTATATAACAGTGCTGTCAGGACATTATGACTCAAAATGCTTTTGAGTCAGCTCATTATGAAGTAACTGGGAAAATATCCTGTTCCAGCATCCTCACAAGACTTTACAAGGTAACCGTGAAGCAGGCCATTTCTTCCCCGGTCTAAACTTTCCTAGAATCTGGCCTAGGCCAAACTTTCCCCATGGAAGTTTTGTCCTAGGATATTCTTAGCCCGGGGAAAGTTTGGGCTACGCTAAAGTTTTCCACCCCCCCAAGGCCAAAGTCCCCCCCCTCCCTGTTTAAACAAGAAGACAAAGTCATCAATATCCCCCGCAACGGCAGAATACTCTTTATGAATAGGTCTGCTGGTTATGATTATGTCAAATGTTTTGGAGTGTATACAGCAAAGTGGAAGGAGAGTATTGAAAGGTTTTTAAGATCTGCTCCAGAGAGAAGCAATACAACCAAATTCAGTTGAAGCCTAACTTGTTGCCATGGAAATGCAACAAGATGACATCCTCATAGTCATAGCCTAAGTCATGAAAACAGCAAAAAATAGAATTCACATATGGGTCTAACCCACCAAAGGCTCATCTAGGGATCATGGTTGACAAGTGTACCAAGTTTGGTTACCCTATCATGAATAGTTTAGGAGATATGCTTCGGACAAAGTGTGATGGATGCACGCACGGACGGATGGAACTAGTTTCTACATTCCCCGCAACTTCGTTGCCGGGGATAACTAGGATATTTTGTTCTGTTTTCTATGAAAAGTGGGGAGATTCTGGTTGAACTAGGCCACTTCTTCCCCTTCCTTGTTCTTATATCAAAAGGGGGAGATCTGGCCTCAAAACGTATGTGAACAAGGAAGACAAAGTCATCAATATCCCCCGCAATGGCAAAATACTCATGATTATGTCTACGAGTTATGATGATGTCAAATATTTAGGTGTGTTTATAGAAAAGTGGAAGGAGAGTATTGAAAGGTTTTTAAAGTTCTGCTCCAGAAAGGAGCACTACCACCAGTTTCAGTCTAAGTCAAACTTGTTCGCATGGAAATGCCAAAAATATTTTATTCAGAAATCCAGAACTACCAAAAGGCACCAGTACACCACCAGACCAATCTATGTGCCAAGTTTGGTGAAGAAACATTGAACGGTTTTAGAGTTCTGCTCCGGAAAAGACAAATGTGCACGGTCCATTTTAATACCCCCCTCAAAACGCGTTGCGGGGGATAATTAGTTCTAGCTCATGATTATTTGATCATTATTGATATATAGGAAGATCAATGATGCAACAACTCATACTTTGTTTCATGACAACATCTGCATCATTAACTATATATACATGCTCTTACATACTTTTGATACTTTGCTTTTATCCTTGCTCTTCTTTTTAATCTAACCTTATATAAGGCTACTGAAACAAAATGTGAACCATGTACATGTTATAGGTGAAGATGAAGATGACCTGTAAATTGTTAATGGAACTTGACATCAACATGAATATATTATCAATGTGTTCACCTGAATATCTATGTCTTGTTTTCGTATCTTGACTTTTTCAATACGAACATAAACATGAAAACAGGGTTGGGGAAGAAATAGCCTATCTAGGCCAGAATCTCCCACTTTTGATATAAGAACAAGGGTGGGAAAGAAGTAGCCTTTAAAGTTGATTCAAGGGTGGGGAAAGTTTGGCCTCGGACAAACATTCCCCGGGGAAGACTAAGCCTAGGGGCGGGAAAAGTTGGGCAGGGGGAAAGTTTGGCCTGTTACACCGGTAAGTATACTTAACTGCTAAAGAAATGCAAGTTGTACATAAAATGTTGATAACTTTAGGAGTGAGTGAGTGAGTGAGTTTAGTTTTACGCCGCACTCAGCAATATTCCAGCTATATGGCGGTGGTCTGTAAATAATCGAGTCTGGGACCAGACAATCCAGTGATCAACAGCATGAGCATCGATCTGCGCAATTGGGAACCGATGACATTTGTCAACCAAGTCAGCGAAACTGACCACCCGATCCCGTTAGTCGCCTCTTACGACAAGATAGTCGCCTTGTTATGGCAAGCACGGGTCGATAACTTTAGGACAACCAGGGACAAGTTGATAATGTCAAGAAATGACAACCGAGAAAACATTTAACAACAAATGGGCATTGATTGTTTGATTAAAGCCAGTGTTTATTGAAAATTCCCATTCCCATCTCTACCAGAAAAACTGAGTCCCTTAAACAGTGTCATTTGTATCGATTAATAGTGAGTTGTCAATGTTGTCTGTGATACAGGCTGCATATCACTGTCTCATTGAGAACAAACATGTTTGGAAGAGGGCTTGAGGATTTCAGTTCTCACACCAAACATATCTTTCAGTCTGATGATGTCTCCCGATCTTGCTCCAACTGACACCATGTCGGATGATAATGAAGAACAAGGCATCAGATGAGCATTAAGTCTGAAGAAGTCCATACAGACCCATGCTGTATAAAAACAAGTGGCGATGTTGCTGGTGGTGAGTCAGTAAGAATGACAACCTTTGATTCCCATCACACTTAGACCATGGTGAACTTTGGCAGCTGACATGGCATGATGTGGACCATGAGTGGTTGCAACTGCCTGTGCTGCTAGCTGCTTATCAGTCATGCTAGCTGCTTATCAGTCATGCAGATGTGACAGCCAAACTTAACAGTCCAGTGTTTGAGCAATGACCCTAGGCCGTCCAGTCTAATGATAGTAGACACTAAATTAATATACCAAATAACTTTGCCACAGAAGCTGATGTTGATTGAGCATGTAGCATCACAATGGCAATGGCAGTCTGGATTTGAGTTAATTGTACGTTTCATGTCATTTTTGAAAGTGTTTTAAATATTTGGCATTTTAAACATGGTGGCTTAAAAAAATTAATAAAGATGTGCACATCATCATGTAAAACTGATTGACTGACTGAGTTTGGTTTTACGCCGCTTTTTGCAATATTCCAGCAACATCACGGCGGGGGCCACCAGAAATGGGCTTCACACATAGTACCCATGTGGGGATTCGAACCCGGGTCTTCGGCGTGACAAGCCAACGCTTTAACCACTAGGCTACCCCACCGCCCCTCATGTAAAAAACATCAAAGAAGACAACAAGAGTTCCTAAAACATCATCATGAACGATGTAAACATGTAAAAGTGTTTCTTTAATCCTTTTCTTGTAAAGGATCAAAACCGACTCCGAGGGCTTTCGCTTTCAAACAAAACCTCAGTTTGTTTTGACCCAACTTACGAACCAACCGAAGATATACTTTAGATATCATTTTAATATTTGGTATTTACTACTGAAATCAACTGGGATGCGACTGGCAGCCAATACCTTGCCTTGCATGCTCAATGCATGTGCACTGCACGCGCTGCCCGTGTACTGCACGTGCGCTGCTCGCACTTCCTGTCCTGTGACAATCACATTCTTCACATTGATCCTTCGTAGCCTAGTGGATAAAACCGACCAGCTTGTAAGTGAAGAGTCGCAGGTTCGAAACAAGATATCGGCACAATATATTGGAAGTTTTCACTTACCGGTATGTGATATTTTATGATTGTATTCAAATTTTGTACAAGTAAAATAATTCAAAGTCAAGGGCTATTCCTCAGAAAATCCCCAGGCAATTCCTCAGAAAGTCCAAGGAACCCGGGCAATTCTGTACAAAATCCCTGTGACCCAGGCAATTCTGTAGGAAATCCCCGGGATTTCTTGGAGAATGCCCGCAAAACTGCCTGCAGAGATTTACTCTGTACAAGGAGAACCTGGCTAGCCAATAGAGTGATATCACTGGAGGTTTATATTATGTTTGCATACATTTCTTTCCAGAAGATATTATTTTGTGCATTTCAAAACACCAAACTTGACTTTCTTTTTCTGGTTAAGCATAACTGCAAGAGAGTTCAAAATAAAAAATTGTAATAAACTTCTGAACAGTGGGCCAGAACAGGTCAATGTTGTGAATCGAAAACAATTAGTGAGAACGCCAAGTATATGTTAGTAGGTATTTTAGTTGTGCAGACAGTCACCTGGTTTTGAGAACTATGACACTTACAATGGGAGGTTTTGTCAAAGAACAAAGAAAGATGAACTGATCAAGGGGCAAATGATTCATATTAACGACATCCACAGAATGGACGTCTTTCCTCACCTCTTTTCTCTCAATCTCAGCCTTTGTATCATCGTCCACATTTCTACTGTTATTCAAAGCTGTTGAACAGAGCAAATAATAAATTTCTTAATATCATGAAGTGGCATGTTCAATAACGTGACATGTCACTTTCTCTGAAGGAAGAATGACTTCCAAATCAGGAAGTCTCATGTCGCTGATGAAATTAAGTAATTCATCCACTTCAAAGGGATGGCCCTTGCAAGGTTTTTGATGGTGATGGGTGGTGTGGGGGTCACCTTCAAGCCAAAAATAAGACCAAAATTAGGCAGAAAAGAGATTATTCAAGAGAACAGCATTTTAATGAATATGTCAAACATACCTTACGTATGACCTCGACTCTGACCAAATAAATAGTTCAGTTCCAAATTCCACTGAACTACAATTAATACTTCTTGAGTTTGACTGAACAAACATACATTGTAAATGAACTTTAGTGGCCTGGACCTTATACACATCTTACAAAACTGCTGGATCTCCACAACTTAAGGAAAGACGCGTATTTACTGATGAATCTTAACAGTGAGTGAGTGAGCGAGTTTAGTTTTACGCTGCACTCAGCTATATTTTTAGCACTTTATTACTGAGAGTAATTGTCTCTTGTATAATAAGTTGAAAAATGCTATCAGCTGTAAGAGTCATCAAAAGATGACATATCCCCCCGGCCCCCACATATTTGAAAGAACAAATCATCTGACAGTTTAGCTGGACTTTTTTATTAAACTAAGTCCAAATCGTTTCCATGGAAATCATGAGAAATATATATGCCAAAAATCTGTAAATAGCAAAAGGCACCATTTCAAAATTTGCCTAATATATCTGCCAAGTTCTGCTAAAAGATACTGAACGCTTTTCGAGTTGTGCACCGGAAATGAAGCCCACCCCTCCCTTTTGGGACTAAGTCCTAATCGTTTCCATGGAAACCGGTGAAAATAAAAATGTCAAAAATCTGCAAATAGCAAAAGAAACAACCTAAGGTTCAGTTTCATATATCTACCAAGTTTTGTTGAAAAATATTGAACGGTTCTTGAGTTATGCTCCTGAAACGAAGCCCACCCCTCCCTTTTGGGACTAAGTCCTAATTGTTTCCATGGAAACCCGGAAAAATAAAAATGCCAAAAATCTGCAAATAGCAAGAGGCACCACTTAAGGATCTGTTTGATATATCTACCAAGTTTTGTTGAAAAATATCGAAAGGTTTTGGAGTTATGCTCTGGAAACGCTTAGATGATTGAAAAATTGAAAATGAGAATGTGTTCAAAGGAATTGTGAAATGTATGTTTTGACAAATATAACCAGACATTATTTCCATTTGATGCCAAAGCATACCAAATAACATTGAATTTTTCCTAAATTCTTGTAACATTTGGTCCAATTTTTAGAACAAATTATTACATAATTATTAAGTTACCAAAATACGATAAATTTGACCCCAAAAAGCATAACGTTTGGCTTTACTTACACAATTGGAGCGGCAAGACAAGAAAAGTAGTTTCAGCTGTAGCGAGCCAATCAGCACATAGCAAACTGTAACGGCCACTAGCAAACAGTGCGTATTACAGGGTGTGATGTAGAGGATACCTCGTCACGCCTTGTTGATTCTGATCGACAAGGTTCAGCCACATATTATGCCTGATACCCAGCGTTCACACACACTTGCCCCTGAAACCAAGATGCTCACTACCCTAATATTTTTCTCGAGTTTTTTTCTCCACGTTTTAACTTGGTTCCAAAACTACTTCCATCGTCTGCTAGACTACACAATTTTAAGGAGATAACTCATGCCTCACTTTTCTCTATCTCTCTCACCAAAGAGTCTCGACCTAAGCTTGGATCGGATCAGTTAGTGGAATGGGTGTAACTTTTAGCTAAGACGATTGTAAAATTGGCGTAACTTGCTAAGATTGATCTTAGTTAAGATCGGTTTGTGGAACGGCACGGCACCCTGCTCCGGAAAAGAGTACTACTACCACCAATTTCTGTCTAAGTCAAACTTGATGCCATGGAAATGCCAAAATTATTGTATTCAGAAATCCAAAACTACCAAAAGGCACCAGTAGACCACCAGATCCATCTGTGTGCCAAGTTTAGTGAAGAAACATTGAACGGTTTTACAGTTCTGCTCTGGAAAAGACAAATGTGCACGGACACCAGAAATGGGCTTCACATATTGTGCCCATGTGGGGAATCGAACCAGGGTCTCCAATGTGACCAGTGAACGCTTTAACCACAAGGCTACCAGCCGCCCCCAAAGTCAAAGGAAAACAAGAGTCATCAGAAGATGACATATCCCCCCGGCCCCCAACATATTTGAAAAAACAAATCATCTGACAGTTACTTAAAGTCCAGCTTGACTTTTTTTAATGACTTTTTTTAAAACTAAGTCCGAATTGTTCCCATGGAAACTGAGAAAATAATAAATCACAAAAATCAGCAAATAGCAAAAGGCACCACTTTGGGATCTGCCTCACATATCTGCCAAGTTTTGCTGAAAGATATCAGGAAGTTTTCCAGTTGTGCTCCGGAAACAAAGCCCACCCCTCACTTTTGGGACTAAGTCTGAATCGTTTCCATGGAAACCCGGAAAAATAAAAATGCCCAAAATCTGCAAATAGCAAAAGGCACCACTTAAGGTTCTGTTTGATATATCTACCAAGTCTTGTTGAAAAATATTGAACGGTTCTTGAGTTATGCTCTGGAAACAAAGCCCACCCCTCTTTAAGACTAAGTCCAAAACGTTTCCCATGGAAACCGAGAAAATTAAAAATGACAATCTGTAAATAGCAAACGGCACCACCTTAGGTGATGTTTAAAATATCTACCCATTTTTGTTGAAAAATATCGAACGGTCTTTGAGTTATGCTCCGGAAACAAAATGATTATGGACGGACAAGGCGACGACTACATCCCCCCGCATTACATGCTGGGGAAAAGGGAAAAAAAAGAAAGATAAAAAGAAAGAAAAAAAAGAAGAAAAAAAGAAGAAGGAAATACAAATTATAATAATCCCTAATAGCAAAAGGCAGTAGTTGACAACCTGGTCTTTGTGTGCATGAAAACCTATTAGTTTTAGAGATGTGGTCAGGACAAACACACCACTATGACTGACTGACTGAGTTTGGTTTTACGCCACTTTTAGCAACATTGCAGCAATATCACGGCGGGGGACACCAGAAATGGGCTTCACACATTGTACCCATGTGGGGATTCGAACCTGGGTCTTCGTCGTGACGAGCCAACGCTTTAACCACTAGGCTACCCCGGCGCCCCCACTATGAGCTTGTTGCCATGAAAACAGGAGTGAGTGAGTGAGTTTAGTTTTACGCCGCAATCAGCAATATTCCAGCTATATGGCCACGGTCTGTAAATAATTGAGTCTGGACCAGACAATCAAGTGATCAACAGCATGAGCTGGGAACCGATGACATGTGTCAACCAAGTCGGCGAGCCTGACCACCCGATCCGCATAGTCGCCTTTTGTGGCAAGCATGGGTTGCTGAAGACCTATTCTACCCCGGATCTTCACAGGTTCCATGAAAACAGGAAACAAATTCCTGTTTTCTCAAAATTCTTAAATAGCCCTTGGTTACTCGGATGGGAAGTCTTTGACGTTTCTTAGCGGTGCTTCAGAAACAAAATTTTGTTGATAGATATAGAGTGTCAGACAGACAGGTGAAGACTACATCTCCCCGCATTATATGCCAGGGAAAAAATTAAAAAAATAATACAATATAGACAAATTCCAATCATGAATATATTGCAAAAACAGAAAACTTCTTGGGACATTATCTTTCCATAATGTGACCTTGACCTTTAACATCACCCACATCATAATAATATTAATAATAATGTATTTATAAAGTGCCTAATATCCACCGTAGAAATGCTCAATGGCGCTGTGACAATAGTGGGCAAGGAAATAGTTCATATAGCTTTTACAGAAAGGCAGCAGTGAACAGATGGGTCTTCAGCAGAGATTTAAAAATTTCTTTCATTGAGGTGAGGTGAAATTGGGTTTAACGTCGTGCTTGAGAATATTTCGCTCATATGACAACGTGCATGCGTGTGTATGTGTATGTGCGGCTGCTTGTACTAGCCCAGACTTAAGCTGGTTTTATAGTGCTAGCTCACCGAGATACCATGCCGCAGTGAAGCATGAATACCCCACTCAGACACAGTATACTGACTCCGAGCCGACCAGTCCTTGTTGTACCCATTAATGCCGAGCGCCAGGCAGGGACCAACAAGTACCATATTTTAACGTGTTTTGGTTTGACGCGGTCGGGGATCGAACCGCGACCTTCCGCTCTCTGGGCGGACGCTCTAACCACTACACCACAGGAGGCGGTCTCTTTAAGTGAAGTGTTCCTGATTTCCTTTGGAAGAGAGTTCCACAGTTTAGGGCTGGCAAAGGAGAAGGCTCGGTCAGGCAGTTGGTTTGGAGACATGTGTTGGGTGAGGAGAGTCAGAGGAGGATCGGAGACTTTGCTTGGGTACATACACGGAGGCGAGATGTTTGAGATAGTCGGGAAAGTTACTGTTGTAGAGGCAGTCATGAGTCAGAATGAGGATTTTGAAGGAAATTCTTCCAGAGATGAAGCCAGAGCCAGTGTAGAGACTGTAGTACTGGTGTGATCATACAGCCAATATTTCCTATAGCCTTCAAAGTAACATCTAACACAAACACAACATATGATAAGTATCAAGTTCATAATTGAAAGTCTATCATAATGGTTGTCAAAACATACTGGTTTTTTTGGCTATTATTTTAATGCTAAACTGGCGATATTCTCGCTATATGACTGCAGAATGTAAATAATTTGAGTGAGTGAATGACTTTTAGTTTTACACCACTTTTAGCAATATTCCAGCAATATCACGGTGGGGGACACCTGAAATGGGCTTCACACATTTTACCCATGTAGGGAATCGAACCCGGGTCTTTGGCGTGACGAGCAAACGCTTTAACCACTAGGCTACCCCACCACTCCAAATAACTTGAGAGTAGAGAATCCAATGACTGACATTGTGAACGACATCAGGCTACAATGGTCAATTCACAAGGAACTCCCCAAGAGATCAACAGAAATTGCGCTTTTTCATGATTTAATCTGAAATTTCAAGAAATTTGAACTAAGTTTCATAATATGATCGAAAACGATACCTGTCAACTTGAAAGATAATGCTGAAATATTTCCTCTATTTTTAAGATTACCTGTAATGTCCGCTTGTTCTGACTGTGGTGACAGTTCTGGAGTGGAGGGAGATTCCACTGAGATGGTCACGTTGGTGGTCTGGGACACTACTGTAGTGCTGTCATTCACATTTTCATTATTTTCTGTGCTGCAGATAAGAAAAAGGTATTTTTCAGACGTTCATTTTCATAAGAGATAAGAAGTGAACACTGTGCAAGAAATGCATTCATGCGATACTGGCTCTAACTTAGATTAGAAACTTATGCAGAAAAGTAGAATAGGATTTCCTGTCTTAGAGTGTAAATTTAACGGCAATAACCCACCAACTAGACAAAAAGCACTATAAAGTGTTGTCAAAGATTTTGTAAACCCAGATTATGTCTTCACTTTTTGTTGTACACCACTGCATGACAATTTTTACAGTGACATCACGGTGGGGGACACCAGAAATGGGCTTCACACATTGTAACTATGTGAGGAATCGAACCCGGTGTAGCAGGCCATTTCTTCCCCGTCTAAACTTTCCCCCGGGGAGAATCATGACAACATCTGCATCATTAACTGTATATACATGCTCTTACATACTTTTGATACTTTGCTTTTATGCAAAGGGTGGGAAAGAAGTAGCCTTTAAAGTTGTTTCAAGGGTGGGGAAAGTTTGGTCTGTTACACCGGGTCTTCGGTCTGATGAGTGAATGTCTTAACCACTAGGCTACCCCACCACCAAATTTTTAACAGCTTTAGGGAGGATGAATGAGCAAAATACGGTCGAACAGCTAAACAAAATATACACGTATCAAATGCATTACGAAAAACATTTTACATTCAATAGAAAAAGAAACAGCTTTCCATAAATGACAAACATGGCTTTTCCTACATGACGTCAAAAGACTACAGAGCCTAACATGAACAAAGAAAAGAGCATAACTCACGAGGAACCAACTGTTTATTCAGGTGTAATACAAATCATGTCATGATGAGACATTATGATAGGAACTACACCATCAAACATCATTATTCACCATTTCAATGTCATGGCTTGTTTTGTGTGTTTGATGACATTAGATTAGAGAGAGAAAACTTTTGTATTTTCATGAATATATTCCCCATCTAACTTTCACTCATTGTGTGAAAAATTTCAGTTTGGACAAGGCATACGCCTGTTTGGCATCAATTTTACTTGAATAAATTCTCAAAAGCATATTTCAAAACAAAAATGTTTTCGATATTGGCCAGGTTTTTGTTCATTATGATGTGGTTATTTCTCTTCAGCTCATCTTAGCATACAATTAAAGATGTGAAGAAAGTTCTCATTGTAGGAAAATCTCATAAGGTTTGATTAATAGCGTACTTGGCAGAGTCCATGTTCAGTTTTTATAATTCTTCGAGAATTAAAAATATAAAGTTGGCTAAACTGTGGCCACAATATTCAAAGAAGGCAAACAAACTGATAAAATCAGATAAAACAGGACGAGTAATTCATGAATAGGAAGGGAAAAGAATGCACCTGGTAAAATTGTTAGATATCACTTTTTTGTAAAACAGGAAATATGGACTGGTGTCAAGCATGACTTTGTGTCAGTTTCTGTTGAATGTACCATTGTAGCTGATGTATTTTTAAGTCCCTAATCCATGCTCTTACCATGCATATTGTAAAAACACTGAGCCAGTGTACACAAACAATATACATAAATATGAACTTAGCTTTTTTTTACATTTTAAACATGTGGACTTTTCAAAGCACAGCAATCAATTTCACATCAGATGATTAACTTCACCTTGACACTTTGCATTGGTGAGAAAGACCATTTGTCATTTGATACTAAAATGTATGAGGACTTCTTATTTATATATTGCAGCCAAGTTTACAACATAAGTAAAATCCATGTACCATAATAGGCATGCTTTGTAAGCTGTCGGACATCAGTTGTGACTGTGGCAACACCCATGTAGGTAAAAGTTCCTGTCCCCATTAATTAATCTATCATGATTTTATCACATGCAGTAGGCTTTGCCCTGTTAGTACCTCTTTCAAGTCAATCATTATCAGTTGACCCTGGTAAACCCTTTCATGCATACCTTTGAGCAGTTAATCCTTGTATGTATATAACTTTATACTGTGCTGTATTTCTTCTGTGTTCATTGACATCAGTATACTTGTACACATTGAAACATCACATGATAACAGAATATAGCTTTACTCCTCCTTAAAATCTTCTAAATTTCTATCCAGTGATGGCATTCGTGTATGCATATTTTCCGAAACAATATGAACGATTGAAGGGTTATCAGCAGCTTTAGAATGATCACTGGTGATTTTATATTAAACAGATGCTGGGACCACTAATGTTACTTTTGAAATTAAATTCTTCAAATATTTCATATTAATATTCAACTTTTACAATATTATTTAGAGTAATTTTGTACACTAAATAATATTGTAAAAGCTGACATACAAATGTGCAAAAAATGGGAAGATCTATTTTGGCCATTTTCAGTAATTTTGCTTTGCCTAAAATGTCAGTGGGGTACATAACAGAAGAGTGGATTTCCCATAGAATTTAAAACTGTCAAAAGCATATATGAGCCAACGATGTCTTTTGAAGTTTATTTGACTCCATAGCCAAAGCTAGTCATTGAAGAAGAGGGAAAAATACGGTATACCATTGCATATTCGATCTGTTTAGCAACCTGATCACCTTATTTGGATACCCCAGCGAGGGGGCCTACTAATTAGGAAGAGGTTTAAAATCACAGAAAACAGTCAATCAGCAGGTATTGCCATGCATTGATAACACTGACTTGTTCCAGGTACACACTTGTCTCAAAGACTCATATTGGTTACTTCATTCAGTTGTTGATTGCAATATGACTTAGTATAGCAATTAAGAGGTTTAAATGTATGTAATTCAAAAGAGCATCAAACACAAACAACCTTTTTCTAGACCTGCATCACACATTTCATCGTTAACATCACCCCTTCCTCAAGACAAATGGTATGTAATGCTGGTTACTTTCATGAACTGGGGGAAGGGCAGGGGCATTCTGCATGCTACATATTTCTGATAGGGGCTGCTTATTGTGTGTGGTACGATGGTGCGGTGTGGTGTTGACGCGATAAATACAGTATTTATCAAACATAGTATTTATGAGATGCTAATCCATATGGTTAATCTCAAGACTATTGTAAACTGACTTGTTAACCAACCTGACCTATGTCTTTAATTAATCACTGTCATTTATATCATGAGATATAAACTCTTCCAAAAAAGAAACGCAAAAGGCAATATTTGAGACAAATTGTGAAGAAGTTTATTCCGGGTAGTTCTGTATGACATTAGTGAAACTTTGCACATGCACTGAAGAACATTCAAAGTCTGCAAAGGTGAGGTCCACGGTCACTAGGTGAAGTTTAACGTCACTCAACGTCAATAATGAGTACCTAAGAATCTCGTCGACGTATCGTTGAGCCGTAAGATTCCCTCGAATGTGCACAAGGTCTGTTCTGGCATTGTAGGCGATGGTAGCCCACATCATGACACTACCACCACCAAATCTGTCAACTTCCTGCACACAGTTCGCTGCAAAACGTTCACCTCGCAGACGGTAAACACAGGTCCTTCCATCCTGCCTACGAAGCATAAAATGTGATTCATCGCTGAACCAAACTTGCCTCCATCGTAGATGAGGCCAAACCCGATGTGCCCGCGACCACTGCAGCCGTGCTTGAAGATGTTGCTGGGTGAGGATGACGCCTCTGACCGGACGTCGAGGTCGGATTCCTGCATCTCGTAGACGGTTGAGTACGGTCTGATCGGAAATCCTACGCAGCCCTGGTATGGTTGAGGCAGTAGACGTCACAGTGGTGGTCCTATCCCGAAGGTGACGTAACCGGATGTAGCGATCTTGTGCGGACGTGGTCACACGAGGTCTGCCGGATCTGGGATGGTCACGAGTTGATCCATGTTGTTGGTGACGATTCCATAGCCTTGTGATGGTGCTTGGGTGGACATTCACAACTCTGGCAACATCTGATCGAGATTCACCTGCTTCCAAGCGACCAATGGCGTTGTTGCGCGTTGTGACTGACTGACTGAGTTTGGTTTTACGCCGCTTTCAGCAATATTCCAGCAACATCACGGCAGGGGACACCAGAAATGGGCTTCACACATTGTGCCCATGTGGGGATTCGAACCCGGTTTTCGGCGTGACGAGCCACGCATTAACCATTAGGCTACCCCACCGCCCCCTGTTGTGTTGTGCTTCATTCAGTCTGGGCATGACTGGTGGCTTAACTCTGAGCTATGGAAACCAAAACCTGTCACTTTTATAGTGATTTTGCTCATGTTGCACGTGCAGAACATGAAGATCTCTCAAATTTATTGGACACGAATGCGGTTAGGTGAAAATTTTGATGTTTTCATCTGTTTTCACAGTCAACAACTTTTATTGTCATTTTTTTTCTGATCAACACGTGTAACATCACATACTATGAGCTTGTAACGTTATTACATATATTTCTTTAAAATTAAAAAAATATCCCTTTTGCGTTTCTTTTTTTGAAGAGTAGATTATCCCACTAATCATGTCGTGACCAGGCAACATAACTGTCAGCATTTATCCATTTCAACATTTGTATTTACTGTCAGTATTTTTACTGGTATTCCAACTGTCTGCACAAGAACAATGGTTCTGCTAGAAGCATATGCCCCGAGGTGGATGGAACTGTAACTTACGAATGAGCTGCAAACTCTTATCATCCATAGGTTTGTGATGCCAGGGAAGGTTTTTGTTGCATAGTATGTGTCTTTTGTGTTTACCAGTAGTAAGCTAAATCTATAGATGCATTATAGTCAAGCAGAAACCCAGATGTAAAGAGTGTATTTCACTTACACTATCTCTCTAACACTATCAACTGTGATATCGCCTGGGGAGTCGGGCCTAGCACTGTCACAGAGACCTTGTGTGATGTCATTTGTGTCATACTCCTGGCTGTCATCCGTTCCATCTTCCCTGCAAAATACCAACATCATACCTTATTCTTAACACACAACACCAAACAAACAGTATGTCTTGTGCTGAACTTGATGTATGTGTTCAAGCTATCTATGACATCTTTGAGAGAAAAATCGGAGCTTTGGGAAATGCTGGGAAAACAATATGAAATTCAAACTAAATGTTTGCAAAGATTCATAAAAAAACCCAAGAAGACAAAGTCATCAATATCCTCGCAACGGCAAAATACTCTTCATGATTATGTCTACGAGTTATGATTATGTCAGATATTTAGGTGTGTTTATAGAAAAGTGGAAGGAGAGTATTGAAAGGTTTTTAAAGTTCTGCTCCAGAAAGGAACACTATCACCAATTCAGTCTAAATCAAACTTGTTGCCATGGAAATGCCAAAAATATTTTATTCAGAATTCCAAAACTACCAAAAGGCACCAGTACACCACCAGATCTATCTATGTGCCAAGTTTGGTGAAGAAATATTGAACGGTTTTAGAGTTCTGCTCCGGAAAAGACAAATGTGCACGGACGGACGGACACACGCCATTTTAATACCCCCACAAAACGCATTGCGGGGGATAAAAAAAAAGTAACTTGTATTAACATTCCCCATAATCTAGATAAAGGCTCCAATTCACTACACATCACAATTGATGGTATAACAGTATCCTACTTTACTTCCAGTTTCAGGGTGAAATACTTGCTAACTACACCCTCTGAGCAAACGTTCTCTTTCGAGTACCATATTTACTAGAACTCTCCTATATTATCAGTATACCGCAATGCACTTTTCAAACAAAATTTTAACAAGTTTTGTGATTATCTCCATGGTTTCAGTTAAGATTTACAGACTTTCATTTACCTCTGATGTTTCCCTTCATAACTGACAAAACAGCATACTTCACATACTATAAATTATATGAAATATACTCAAAGGTAAAAGTTATTGTGATTGACTTGACGTAAGATATGTGAATTAACAACCTATATTTTTATGCGACTTTTACATAATGCAAGAAAATTATTCCACAATAGGATTGCAAATAGCACATTTTAAACTTTTCTGGCGGACACATGCTAAAGAGGTCAAATTGAGAGAACAGTCAAAATGAAATTCACACAGTCAATAACGTGTATGTCCACCATGAGCATTGATGCATACTTGACACCTGCGCCTCATAGAACCAATTTCCACTGATGACAAGCAAATGTGTACATCCAGCATTAGTTATCCCACCCCAAACCATCACTCCATCACCGCCAAAACAGTTAGCCTCAAGGACACAGTTCCTAACATAACGCTCACATTGCCCGTAAACTCGGGGACGGACCTCAGTGCAGTGCAAGAGGAATCTGGACTTATCAGTGAAGAGAACATGACTCCACTCATGTGCTCTCCACTGCAGATGTCTGCACCACTGCAGCCCGACGCCAGTAAATGGTCACATATGGTATATTTGGGATTACACTATTAGTAAAGTACAGATTCTAGTACTTTTTTGGGTTGAGTCCCATCCAGGATTTGAACCCACACCCTCAGAGTCAGGCACCTAATCGCCAGCACACAAAGTCAGACACCTAGACCGCTCAGCCACCGCGGCTTCCACAAAGATGTGGGTTCGAATCACGGATGGGACTCAACCAAAAAAGTACTAGAATCTGTACTTTACTAAGTGTAATCCCAAATATAACATATGTAACATTTGACCTCTTTCTAAAATGGCATTGTGTACTTCATAGCTTTCGGCAGTTGGAGCCGTGCCAATTAACACTTATCAGAAGGTACACAGGGTCCGCAGTCTAGACTACCAGTTGACCAGTCCTTGTTGTACCCATTAATGCCGAGCGCCAGGCAGGGACCAACAAGTACCATATTTTAACGTCTTTTGGTATGACGCGGTCGGGGATCGAACCCGCCACCTTCCGCTCTCCGGGCGGACGCTCTAACCACTACACCACAGAGGCGGTCACTTTACTAAGAAAGTGTATTCCCAAATATAACATGTTACATTTGACTGACTGAGTATGGTTTTACGCCACTTTTAGCAATATTCCAGCAACATCACGGCGCGGGGGACACCAGAAATGGGCTTCAAACAGTATACCCATGTGGGGATTCGAACCCGGGTCTTCGGCGTGACGAGCCAACGCTTTAACCACTAGGCTACCCCACCGCCCCTGTTACATTTGACCACTTTCTAAAATGGCATTGTGTATTTCACAGTAAATGGTCCTTGGCAATATCCTGTTGACACCAGAAACTGTTCGGGCTGTCAGTGAGGCTGGTTGGAATCTTTGGTGCAGATGGGATCGAATTAAACGATCTTTGCATGGCGTGGTTACAAGTGGACAGCCACCTTGGGGACGGTCTGCAACGACGGCGTTTTGTTGATAACATCTCGACAAGCAGCATATGGTGTTCCTGTGCACATTAAACTGCTGTGCAACATTACGCTGTGGTGTTCCAGTTTCAAGCATTCCAATGGCTCAGCATCTTTCATATTTAATTAACCTGTGGCATAGAGAAATGCAAGCAGATTCTTCCAAATTTGTGTTTTTCAGACCCATCGACATCTAAACAATGATTTGGGTAACAATGACTTGAGGTTCAGAGCCACATTTTTAAAGGGCATGTTTTATGCCTTTTTTCCACCGACTTCATGAAAGCACAAAAAACTCATGCAAAACAAAAACTATCGACAGGGCCCTGTTTGCGTTATGGATAAAGTTTATTATGAAGAATATAAAAATTCATCATAAGAATTTTCTCATATATATAACAGATGTGTTGATCTCACTAACTTTTGCTTTTGAGTATAGAAAGAACCTTGAATTATTCAACCTATTTTTGAGATTGATGTCATCAAAACAATATCATTTGGTTTCAGAAATCCAAAACTACCAAAAGGCACCAGTACACCACCAGACTTGTGCCAAGTCTGGTGAAGAAATATTGAACGGTTTAAAAGTTCTGCTCCGGAAAAGACAAATGTGCACAGACACACGGACTGACGGACGGACGGAGTGCACTTTAATACCCCCCGCAAAACGTGTTGCAGGGGATAAAAAATCCTGACCATAAACCAAGACTCTCCATACCAACATTTATCGCTGGAGAAAGAAGGTATCAAAATCTAAAGAAAGGCGCAGCCATTAACAGAGATCAAGGCAACAATCAGCCCAGTGAACAACATCTTCCGAAATGAACTTGTTGATTGCCTCACTGCTTGTGTCCCAATTGCCAGCTTCTTGTCTTCACTACACCTTTTGAATATTAAACTGAACTTCATTGAACCCCCTCCTGCTAATGTGATTGGCTTTATGATTTAAATGTTATCTTTGTTATCTATAGGATTATGTCATTACTTAGTGATTATATTGTTACCTTTATACATTCATCCCACCTTGTGCTGTGTAAACATGATTTGTACAAATATACACATGGAAAAAAGTACTGCAATACCCAACACTTTTAACAGAATCAATATGTTACTATAAACCATTGGAAAGGAGCTTATCCGAACCCCAAATTAACTTACCCGGTAATATCTGGATAAAATGACTGCAAGGAATACTTAATGGCAAATCCAAATGCAAAAAGATCAGTGTATTCAGAGAAGCAAACATTGCCAAAAATTCGAACAAACCTGCAGAGGTTTCTGATTCTTTGAAAAGGTTCCTCCTTGGGGTACTTACAAGCATTAAAATGTCCATCTTAAAATCCTCCGACAGTTGTAACTATATTTTTCAATAAAATATTTATAAAACAAAAAACTCGTAGCAGGTAAGTCCAAACGTAAACCTCGTACCTCACTTTTCATGCTGAACGTTATCAGACAGAATGAGGGGAGGTGGGCGGTGCTACCACAAGAAGGACTTTTCAAAGAATCTGAAACCCCTGCAGGTTTGTTCGATTCTTTTTCAAAAGAGATCCTCCTTGGGGTACTTATAAGCATAAGACAGAATCCCATAGACAGAGTCGGGAGTGGTATTCTATCTGGCACACTAAGCCCCTTGCTCAGCAGAATTTCCCAATCGACGAAGAGAGAGAAAACACACTTACCCTGTCACCTGACCACCGCTGTCAATCAGGCCGGTTCGTGGCTAGGGGGAGGGTCAACAGCTGCCAAGCTTATTAGCCTGATAGGCTGAGAACAGATCAGAAAACTCCACCTCCCAACCTATGAATTTGAGTGTGGAGGCAGTAATTGACATGATACCTAGTCCCACATCAAACCCAGTAAGCTAGGCATACTGATGGTGAGTAGAAAGGGAACGTTATGATATCGCTAAAGGCGAGACGGGTTATATTACAGATGGACAGACAGTCGAGACTTACAGCTAGCCAGCCCGATGGTCCGGTAAAAATTTAGATGTTATATGTACATCTGAGTCATATATTGGTATCTGGTCTGGTTAAATCCATTTTGGACTGGTAACATTTTGAAGTTACCAGCCCTGATGTCTGGTTGGGGTTTTGGCTCATTTCATACACTGCCTATACCATCACCAAGGGATAGAGAGTGATAAAAACAACCTCACCAAATGGAAATAATGCATAAGTAGACTCAAAAGCTCAATTGTCTAGCGAGTCACGACCCTGCCCATTGGTAAAAACCGCTTGACCGAACCGAGCACGCTCTCGAGAGTGCTTGTCGAGTTGGTAATGTCGGATAAACGTGCTCGGACGACTCCAAATGGCCGCAGAGCAGATATCCTCAATAGGCAGGGCAACAGCATACGCCTTGGAGGTGGCCACTGCCCTAACCGAATGAGCTTTCAAACCTTCTGGGGGAGTTGAACACAACCCATACAAATGTCAGAGACAAGCCACCTAGAAATGGGTCTGCTTGTTCGCCGGAAGGCCAGCCCTACCACCGCCATAACAGCAGAACAGTTGTTTATCCATACAGATAGACGCTGCCCATTTGATATAAGCCTTGTGAGTCTTATGGACATCTAAGACATGAGCACGTAGAAGAGAGGTACCGGACAGACAGACAG